ATCAACAGATGAACGGATAAACAAAATGTGGTACATACCTACAATGGAATACTATTCAGCTAGTAGGAGAAATGAAGTCTTGATACATGCTACAGTATGGTTGGACTTTGAAGACGTTATGCTGACAGAAATAAGCCAATCATGAAAGGACAAGTATTGTATGATCTCACTTATATAAAAAGACAAGAAAAGGCAAATGTATAGAGACCAAAGTTTATTAATGGTTACCAGGGGAGGAGGGAGGGGGGAAATGGGGGGTTAACAGTGATGGAAAAATCGCATCAATTAAGGGTAGGGTTGCAAAGCTGATTATTGTAATTATTGTCAATAAGTTGTACACCTGTAAAAAGTTGAATTGGCAAAAGTTGTGTGACAGATGTATTTACAACAATGATTAAAAAAAGAGTAGCTTTTGAGGCTGCTTATGTACAACCAAACACCTCACAGGATTTGGTTCCTGGTTTGGAGGTTTAGGGTCATGGTTTCATGGGACATTCCAGTTAATTGGCCTAATAACGTGCTTAGTGCTTCTGTTCTACCTCCTAGTTTGTTGTGTAGTGTCTGGGGTCTTAAAAGGTTGAAAGTGGCCATCCAAGGCACAAAAATTGCTCTCTATTCACCTGGAGCAACAAAGGAAGGAAAGTCAGGAATAGGAGGACATGGAATGTGTGGCTAATAGCCTCCATGAGTTAACTGCCTTCTTTGCCATGAGACCAGAAGAACTAGATGGTGCCCGGCTACCATTACTGAACATTTTGATCAAAGATTCCATAGATGAAACCTGATCAAAAGGGGGAAAATGCAACAGAATTTCAAATACTCATGGGCTCTAGACTTTCTGGAGCCATGGAGGGTGAATGAACTCCTGAAAATATTGCCCTGAGATCATCTTAAACCGTATATCAAAAATATCTCCTGAAGTAATCTTAAAACCAAACAATAGTTTAGCTTAACTGGTAAAATAAGGTGTGCCTTGACCATTATGCTCTTTTAAGAACTATCTATATGGGATCAACTGACAACAGCAACTCGAAAGATTGGATAGGACCTTAGGGGACGGTGAGTTTATGTTAATGAGGGAGGAACAACTCAGAAAAAGAGGGTTAAGAATGGTTGCACAATTTGAAGAATGTAATTAATATCACTAAATTCTACATGTAGAAACTGTTGAACTGGTATATGTTTTGCTGTGTATCTCCTCAACAACAACAACAAAATAAATAAAATTTAGAAAAAAAAGAACCATTGTTAACACACGACTTCAATGAACCTCAAAGGAACTACACCGAGTTTTAAGAAAAGCCAATATCAAAGGGTTACATACTGTACGATTCCATTTATATAACATTCTCAAGATGATAAAATTACAGAGATGGAGAACAGATTAGTGGTTACCAGGGATTAGGAGTGAGAAGGGAAGGAGGAGGTGAGAGGAATGGGTATGGCTATAATGGGGTAGCATGTGAGCTTTGTGCTGATGGAATGAACAGTTCTGTATCTTGATTGTGGTAGCAGTTATACAAATCTACACGTGATAAAATTGCAAAGAACTAGACACACACACACACAAATGAGTACATATAAAACTGGTGAAATCTGAATAAACTCTGTGGACTGTACCAATGCCAATTTCCTGGCTTTGATATTATACTATAGTTATGTAAGATGTTAGGGAGCCCTGGTGGTGCAAACAGTTAAGTGCTAGACTGCTAACTGAAAGGCTGGCAGTTCAAACCCACCCAGTGGCTCTGCGGGAGAAAGACCTGGCATTCTGCTTCCATAAGGATTACAGCCAAGAAAACCCTACAGGGCATTTCTATGCTGTCACATGGGTTCATTATGAGTTGAAATCGACTAGATAGCACCTAACAACAACAATGTAAAATGTTACATGGGTACCTCTCTGTCCCATTTTTGTAATTTCCTGTGGATCTGTAATTATTTCAAAATAAAAAGCTGGATAATAAATAAAAGGCAGATAATCAGATGGGAATGTGTCAAGCATGCCAAGGCAGAGAACCGTGAATAAAACTTGGATGAATTTTAATTGTTCTCTGTAATTCTTTTCTGCATCTGTAGGCCATTGTTACAGATTGAACTGTATCCCTCAAAAATGTGTGTCATCTTGGTTAGGCCATGATTCCCAGTATTGTGTGGTTGTCCACCATTTTGTTATCTGATATGATTATCCTATTGTTGTAAATCCTAACCTCTATGATGTTAACGAGGCAGGATTAGAGGCAGTTATGTTAATGAGGAGAGCCCTGGTCGGGCAATGGTTAAGAGTTCAGGCTGCTAAACAAAAGGTCAGCAGTTCAAATCCACCAGCCACTCCTTGGAAACCCTATGGGGCAGTTCTACTCTGTCCTACAGGGTCGCTATGAGTCAGAATCGACTTGATAGCAACGGATTTTTTATTTTTGGATGTTAAGGAGGTAGGTCAATATACAGGATTAGGTTGTATCTTGAGTCAATCTCTTTTGAGATATAAAGGAAAGAAGTGGGCAGAGAGACAGAGTGACCTCCTACCAACAAGAATGAAGCACCAGGAGATAAGTGTGTCCTTTTGACCTGGGGTCCCTGTGCTGAGAAGCTCCTAGACTAGGGGAAGACTGATGACAAGGACCTTCTCCCAGAGCCGACAAAGACAAAAAGCCTTCCCCTGGAGCTAGTGCCCTAAATTTGGACTTCTATCCTCCTAAACTGTGAGAGAATAAATTTCTGTTATAGCAGCACTAGATAACTAAGACAGAATTTGGTAACAGGAGAGTAGGGTGCTGCTCTAATGGATACCTAAAATGTGGAAGCGGTTTTGAAACTGTGTATGTGTAGAGGCTGGAAGAGTTTTAAAGAGACTAATAGTAAAAGCCTAGATTGTCTTGAAGAGACTGTTGGTAGAATTACAGATATCAAAGACAATTCTGGTGAGGGCTCGCAAGTAAGGAGAGCTGTAACACTGGAGACAGCACAGATGGTGAGAAGCAGCAGCAGAGAAACAGTAGCAGCAGCAGAGAAACAGTAGCAGCAGAACCAGGAGATCAGCACCAGATGGTACAGGAGTCGACCCATGGAGTGAGAGAGCCAACTGCCTTCGGGCAGGAGGCTTCCTGGTGGAGTGGGGTGTCTCCACTTATCAGTGGAGCTAGGCTTGCCAACCCATGGAGCAAGAGAGCTGAGTGACTTCTGGCCAAGGTTTACTGGTAGCATGGGGTGCCTCCAGGCACTTCTCAGTAGAGCTAAAGAGCTTTCGAACACTTGCCCGATCAGGGCAGATGTCAGGCCAAGGGGCCTAGAGGCCAAGGAACCAGGAAGCAAAAGCTGAAGAGACAAGAAGCATAGAAAGCAGAACTGCCTCAGTCTCAAAGGACAGGGCCACGACCTCTGGGGTCTCAAAGAGTAAATCCATGGCCTCTGGGGTTTCAAAGGTTGGGCCCATAGCCTCCTAGGTTTCAAAGAGTCAGGTCTTCACCAACTCAGTTCTGGAGTGTAGGGCTGTCTTTCACAAGTGCTAGTGGGATAAGGCCAGATCTACTGCCCAGAGTTGAGGGGGCGGGGCTGCCATGGCCAAAGGGCAGAAGAAGGTGGCCTGCCAGGGCTGAGGGGGTGGACTCACCACTCAGACAGACTAGTACAATGGGGCCGCCCAAATGCAAGGGAGCAGAGTTGCCCAGGGTAGAATGGCCTCTACCTAGAATCTGGAGAGTTTGGCCAACACCCAGAGTCTAGAGGGCAGGGCCATTGCCTAAATGGTCTCAGAGAACAGAGGATTATTTTCAAGCCTTGAGAGCTAATGTAATGTGTTCTGCTGACTTGCTTGGTGCCTGTCACCCCTTCTTTCCCTCCAATTTCTTCCATTTGTAATTGTCTACGCTGTGCCTTTTCTACCATTGTACTTTGGAAGCAGATAACTTGTATTCTAGATTTCACAGGTGAAGAGGAATTTTGCAGAAGATGAGATTTTGAACTCAGAGTTGATTTAAGACTTTTGGGATGATATGATGGGGTGAATGTGTTTTACAAGTGGCAAGGACATGAATTTTGGGGGGCCAAAGGGTGGAATGTTATGGACTGAACTGTGTCCGCCCAAAAGGTCTGTCATCTTGGCTAGGCCATGATTCCCAGTATTGTGTGGTTGTCCTCCATTTTGTGATCTAATGTGATTATCCTATTAAAGTAAATCCTAACCTCTACTAGGTTAATAAGGCAGGATTAGAAGCAGTTATGTTAATGAGGCAGGATTAGAAGCAGTTATGTTAATGAGGCAGGAGTCAATCTACAGGATTAGGTTGTATCTTGAGTCAATCTCTTTTGAGATAAAAAAGAGAGAAGCCAGCAGAGAGACAGAGGGACCTCCTAATGCCAAGTATGAAGAACAAGGAGGTGAGTGCAACCTTTGAACCCAGGGTCCCTGTGCTGAGAAGCTCCTAGACTAGGAGAAGATTGATGACAAGGACCTTCCCCCAAAGCTGACAGAGAGAGAAAGCCTTGCCCTGGAGCTGACACCCTAAATTTGGTCTTCTAGACTCCTAAACTGTGAGGGAATAAATTTCTCTTTGTTAAAACCATCCACTTGTGGTATTTCTGTTATAGCAGCACTCGATAAATAAGACAGCCATCTTCAAAATTTCTTTATTTTAAAAGAAAAAACAAATCCATGAGGTTAGATGGGATTTTATGTAGCCACATAGTCAGGCACTCGTCAGAGAAAAGTATCGTAAATCCAAATTGTTGTTATTATAATAAATTCTACATGAAACTATTTATCTGTTATAAATTACTTCAGCAGTCTCCTCAAGCTGCCCCAAATGATTCCATATGAGCAGGCACCACAGCTAAGGCTGCTGGTGGGCTTCAGAGCAGGGGTCCTTCCCAGCCCCTCCAGGACCACTCAAGCCAGCTAACTGAAGCAGGGGCTGGCTCAGCCAGTTCTTCCTTTTGCCTCCCTGGCTGCTCTGGCCCCACCCCCATTGGAAGCTGTTGTGAGCTCAGGAATCTCTTACCTGTTGAGGTCCCAGATTCTTAGGGGTGAGAAGTGCCCACAACAAGCCGTCCCTGTCACAAAAGAGCTGCCAAACAAAAGGAGAGCAGAGTCAGACCTGGCTTGTCAGAACTTGTGGCGGAAACGGCTACACAATTGGAAATGCTATCCTCATTTTCCAGGGAATGGTGGGGTTAAGCCAGAATGAGAGCAACAGCCAAGAGGGCCAACAGAGGACTTGTGGGAAGATAGCTGGGAGCATGGTGAGGGCTGGACCTCCCAGAGCTGCCTGGTCAGAGAACCCATGGGTTCAAGGCTACCAGCTTGCTGCTCAGATTGAGTGGTATGGTCTCTATTCACCAAAAAAGCATAATCTCTAGACGGGTAACTCTGAGCCCAAGGTGAACAAGCCTGCCGGGCTTGGCTATACGAACCCTGAGATCACAATGCCCATGGCACAGAACAGCTCTCCTGGGATAGGGAGTTGGGGACTAGAAGGCAGTGCCCTGGCTGGAGGTAGGGATGGCTGGGGGGCATTACTAAAGGTTTTAAAAGCTGAGAGAAGCTGGTAAGTGGTACAAGCACAGGGCAGGTGTAAAGGCTTCAGACTGGGAAAAGGAAAAACATGAAAGGTGAGTAAATCCCATGGATGGGGGTAGGGAGAGTGGGCAATGTGAGAAGCCAGGCAGCCAGGGTGCTGGGAGCGGGATGAGAGTCACGCAGTTTAGAAACTGACACACGCTACCACGAGGCAGGTGAGAAGGAACACTCTGACCATATTTCCCAGAGTGCCTCTTAAACCCCTCAAAAGTTCAACAAATATAATCTGCATCATTTCATTTTCAAGTAGAGGCACAAACCCAGTGTGAAGAAATCAGTACAATAGACAGGTTGGCTATAGTGCTAGGAGTAGAACTTGAACCTAGCTAGACCACTCCTTTGTTAGTGGATTTGGCAGGGGTGGGGAGGGGAAGGCCTTCAGGAACCTTGGGTTTGAAAACCTAAACAGCAAGCAAGAGAGTTGAAAGCAGTCATGTCACTCAGAAGCCCTGGGGCAGGGATGGGCCACGTCCCTACTTGTCTAGTGGAGGGCGGGTACTGGACATACTAATGACAGGTTAGCAATGTGGGGGCAGCTGCCCATCTTCCCTGGCCCAGCCCAGCACCTGTGGCTCTCTGATCCCAAGCGTGTCAGTGGGGAGATGGATTTCCGTAGTGAAGCCTCTCAAGAAGCCAGTGGCTTTGGCTATGCTGGGGAGTCTGGCCCAACAGTTGCTGATGGGGGAGACGTTAGTGTAGGCATTGGCCGAGCCACTGGTTTATAGTCAAAATTGCAGGGCAGGTGTCTGCTTTTCAATCCTAGGCTAATAATAAGGCCATGAGAACCACCCTGGGGTTCTACGCCTCAAGCAAAGACTTCCCCTAGGGACAACGCCCCCTTGACCCATAGGACTGCCAGCAGTCACTAAACTGTAGGGTTTCAGTGCCAACACGGTCATGCCCTTCATGCCCCAGATGACTCCCAGACTGGGAAGCAGCCACTGGACACTGAAGCCCCAAACTACAAAGCCAAGAGATGTTGCTCTCACCACCCTCCCCCCAACATTTTTTTCCTTAGGGTAATCCATTAATAACTGGTAAAGCCAATTACCGTGGGTTGGAAACATAATAGCCACTTGGAAATCATTCAAGCAGGCAATTGGGCTCTCCAGACTTTTGAGGGATGGGGGCAGGTGAGGGGCGCCAGCACAGACACACAGACATCTCTTGAGGAGGCTTGTGGCAGGCACCTGACTGGCCACAGGCCTAAATTAGCGTCAAGGTAAGTCAATAGAGAAGGAATGGGAGGGACCTGGAACGTTAATCCCTGCCACTCCCCCAGATCTGACCTCCCAGCAGGCTGGGTACAGGCGGGGGAGAAGTGGCAGCTATGAACACCTTCCCAGAGACTCCTGTCCTCCTCTATTCCTGCCCCGCATCCCTGGTCCTGTCCACCTGCCACCAAAGGAGGAGTGCCTCTTACCCTCATGCCCTACGAAGGGCTTTCTTAGCTGCCTGGTTATGGCACCCATAACATTTCTTACTAAAGCTGCCCTTTTCCCTTGCCTGACTTTGGTGGAGCAGGGAGGAAGGGAAAGTAGAGTGTGCCTGGCACTTAGGAGACTATAATAGTTTAGTCAAATTTGTTGTTGTTGTGTGCTGTCGAGTCAACTCCAACTCACAGCGACCCTATGTGATAGAGTAATGATGTCCGATAGGGTTTTCTAGGCTGTAATCTTTACAGGAGCAGATTGCCAGGTCTTCTTCCACGGAGCTGCTGGTGGGTTTGAACCACCGACCTTTCGGTTAGCAGCCGAATGCTCAACCACTGTGCCGTCAGGGCTCCTTTAATCACATTTAACACTCAGGAAAAACCACCTGAGCACCAGTGAGGCAGATTTTGAGCCAGGTTCTGCTGGGGGAACCCATATCAGGACTCATCTCCAGGCCACAGGGACGGCTCAGGACTCTTGGAGGTCAGGCTGGCTGCAGACACAGTCCTGCACACCTCCAACTACTCTCCAACACTTGCAGCCCTGCATGCCCTCCAATTCTTACGGCCTTTAGGAGGCATGATGCAAAAGCCACAGACCCTCCGCATTTAGTCCAAAGATTAAAAAGGTGTGTCCAGGTGCAGTATCTCCAGAGTTTGCGACAGACGTGGAGCAGAGAAAGAGAAGGAATTCACTACTCTGAACGCTCGAAGGATGCCTCACACCCCACAACAAGTCCCTGAGGTAGAGATAATTATTCCCATTGTACGGAAAGTGAAAGTAAAGCACAGCCAAGCTCCCATGAATTTACCCAAAACGCTGCAGCTGCACGCAGAACCACTGCCCACACACTCATACCCTTCTTCAGGACTCACCAGGTAAAGTGCTTTGAAAAAGGGGCCAGCAGGGTTGGATGTGTGCCTCAAAGACGGCCTTGTCACCCTCACTTCTCTAACCTCACCAGGTGATTCAGCCTGAGCATAATACCTTGTTCTGATCTCCTGCTTCATTCATATCAGCCTGATGTCTTCAGCCAGATTCCCTCCACATCCCTCACTGGGCTAAGCATGTCAAAGGTTCTCCATAAACACTTGGAGATGAACTAAATGGAAACATGTTCCATCACCTCCATGGCTCTTCCTAAGGACTCCTCAAAGAATCTTCCCCATTAAAAGGTCTTTGTTGTAACCTCAATTTAGAGTTTAAAGTTACTGAAAAAAAAAAAGCTCTTCTCAGAAAAGAAAGAAAATTCAAATGGCTTTTGCCCTCAGTCCTCAGGAGTATCCCAGGCACAGGGCCAGCAAACCTGTACTGAACAGGCAGCAAGGCAGGAGCTGGCAGCCCCCGAGGTGGGCTGACCATGCTTCCTCTGAGTCCTTACAATACTTCACTCTCTCCTCATAGGATGAATGGTAATTTTGGTTATCTTTCCATCTCCCCTTTGAGATCATGAACTGTCTGGTGCCTCCTGTGAACCCTAGTGCCTAGAAGTGCCTGGTCCCGAGGTTTACCTTAGCTAAGGCCAGGGGGCCCATAAGGTGGGTTGAGGTCTGGGTAAGGTCTGGGTAAGGTCTGGGACAGGTCTGGCTTCTGGTAGGGGATTTCAGGTCTGAAATGAATAGAGTTTATGGAGCCAGAATGACTTTTAGACCCTCAAGCTAAGACAGCAAATGAGCGAGAACATGGGGTGGGGGGTAGGGGGAGTATGTGTGTTTTGACATTGATTTTTAAGTATTGTTGGTAAACCTGCCATCACAGAGACAATCATCAGGCTCAAGAGGTAGATTCAGGAGTCCTCAAGATAGAGAAAGACTGTAGGAGAATTAAGAGTTCTGGTACTCAAGTTGAGGAATAGAAAATAACAGGACTTAGAAAAGAGAAGAGGAAGGTAAGGAGGAAAATCAGTTCGGCATGGGCAGGGTGAAAGGATAGTAGATTCTTGGCTGCCTCCGCTATAGCTTAGGCCCTCTTACTAACACTAGTACACCTTCTCCTCACTTATCAACTATCTCTTGATCCCAACATTTTGCATTTACGACAACAGTAAAAAAATCTACCATCTGACTATTTTGTGCATTAATGACATACGTCTGGCAGTAACGAATGCCAAGGTGCGAGGCAAGAACAACACTGGCTGTGATGGTTCAGGTTATGTGTCAGCTTAGCTGGGCCATGATTCTCAGTGGTTTGGCAGTTATGTAATGATGTAATTTGGCAGATACATAATGATGTAACTTGGCAGTTATGTAATGATGTAAACTGGCAGTTATGTAATGATGTAATTTGGCAGTTATATGATGATGTAGTCATCCTCCATTTTGTGATCTGATGTGGTCATCCTCCATTTTCGCATAACACCAATTTCACATAATGACCTGGTCTTTGCAACTTAACAATGTTGATAAGTGAAGAGAGGGTGTGATTTATTGAGCACTTACTATGTGCCAAGTGCCAAGCAAGTATTTTAAAAGCATTATTCCATCTAACCTTCACAACCCTATGAAGTAGGTATCAATTTCCCTATTTTACAAATGACGAAACTGAGGCACAGAGAGGTAATGTGATTTGCTCTAGCTCACAGGTAGCAACTAGTAGGATTGGAATTTGAACCCAGTTGGTCTTGATTCCAGAGCCCAAGATATTATACCATTCCTCGTGCCATAACTTCTCAGAGGGCTGCATTTCAAGAGTTAGTCTCATTTATATCCCCAATACCTAGTAGAATGCCTGACACACATTAAACCCTCAAATGATTATTGAATGAATGAATGAACGAATGGCTCCTCTTGGAAGAAGAAAGAAGAGACTGCGTGGCTCTGAGGTGTGGCAGTAGCAGTGGCGTGCTCAATAGCTGCAGCCCCGTGGCTTGCCTGGAGCCGCCCAGCTGGCCCAGGCCCCAGCAGCCTCTGAGCCTGGGCTAACACACTTTGGCAAGGGAGGCCACCAGAACTGTCACATCATTCACCAACATGCCCATCAAGTGTATTCAGTTCTCTTCAACCAGCATTGGCATTTTAATTACTGTTGGGTAAACTAATTTGTACAAATGAAGGCC